TCGTTTTTGTCAAAGGCTTTAATCTTCGGGGCGGAAAACAATCCGACCCGTCAAAATTCAAGTGTGTTTATGGTTGGGATATTAAGAAGCCCAAGTTATTGTTACAATCAGATGTCATATCCATTGCTCAAGAAATTGTTAGATGTGAAACCCCATTGAGCATTTTGAATAGTCCACAGAGGTTTATTTCTAGTAACATGAATCAGCCCATTAAGATTTCTGTTAGAATGGTTGGTAAAGAGCCTTTAGAGTCCATAGCGAGTCCTAAACGTCGTCTTCAACTTAACTTGCCAGGTGAAAAACAGCATCAAATGTGTGTGTGCACAATGTTAAGGAACCAGGCAAGTTTTTTGCAAGAATGGATCATGTACCATAGCAAAATCGGAGTACAACGTTGGTTCATTTATGACAATAACAGTTTGGATGACATTGAAGATGTCGTTAAGGTATTATCAGTGGATCAGAAAATAAACGTGACACGACATGTTTGGCCTTGGATCAAGACTCAGGAAGCTGGTTTTGCTCATTGTGCGTTACGAGCAAGGGATGTTTGTGAGTGGGTTGGTTTTATGGACGTGGACGAGTTCTTCCACTTGCCTACTCGTCTGTCATTACTTGTCATATTGAGAAATCAATCCCAGAATTCTAACAGTAATGTTGCTGAGTTGCGGGTCTCGTGCCATAATTTTGGACCGTCGAGTCTCAAACATGTCCCGACACAAGGGGTGACAATGGGTTACAATTGCAGGATGATTGCACCAGAGAGACACAAGAGTATAGTGAAACCAGAAGCATTAAATTCAACACTAATCAATGTAGTTCACCATTTTCATTTGAAGTCTGGGTTTAAGTATGCCAATATGGATAGAAATGTGATGGTGATTAACCATTACAAGTACCAAGTTTGGGATGTGTTCAAGGAGAAATTCTACAGGAGGGTAGCTACTTATGTGTCTGATTGGCAACAAGACAGAAATATTGAGTCCAAAGATCGTGCCCCGGGTTTAGGGACACGAGCTGTTGAACCACTGGATTGGTCTAGTCGATTCTGTGAAGTTATTGACACTGGCCTAAGAGATCGAGTAGCAGAGATGTTCACAGACCCAAACACAGGCAATTTACCCTGGCAAAAGTCACTGACATGATCTGAAGTTTTTGACTTTGTGGATATAGGGAGTGCTCATTTCTTTTTGTATTATTTGTACATGAAATAGTTGACATATTCTTTTTGTACATGAATATTTACGTCATACCCCAAAGATAATTTGACAATGAAAGTCGAATGTTCAATGTACCTGTACTTGTATCTGGTGAAAGTCAAAAGTCAAAACTCATTTTTAGCATCTTATGACGTGTATTTCTTTGTGATTCTGATCATGAAGCCAATAATTGAGCAACAATAGAATGTGTTCTGTAACATGAGATGACCTATATCCTCATATTATATGCATTTCTATACATTCACTCAACATTCTCTCATATTCCTCTCTGGAGACACCAAAAAACAAAACATGACTCAGCTACAAGAATATTTCATGTCCCAGATTATAATATTTCATGGCTCACCATCAATGTAACGGATCCTTTGACTTCATTAACAAGATGATGGCGTAAACAACAGCTATCATTCGTATGATCATAATCTAAAAAAGAGAAGGAATAACAAAACAAAACATACACACACACACACACACAAACATATTTACTAAGCGTCAATAAGTTCTTCAAACTGCGTATTGTCCTTTTAAGCTTGTTATAGAGATTAGTCCTTTTAAAATGTCAAGAAACAAGGCCTGACAAAGAAGCTTGCAACAGAGGCATTTGTTTTTCAAAACATTCCATTAGATTACAACTCACAGTCACAGGATTCACCCTACATCAGATTCTTTTACTATTTCCCCCCAGCGGAACCGCTTGTTATATAAACTTGCTTAGACTGGGATACCAAGAAAGCATCAATAGGAGCAAACGAGTTGTTTAATTCTAAAGTTCAACTATTAAAGACTTTAGTTTCAAGTTTCAAGCATCAGAACTCGATTAAAAAGTTACAACTAAATGGCTTATGGTACACCTCAGGTGTTCCAAGTGCAATGGAAAATATTATACAAAATTTATGTTCCACGGCCTCCTCTAACACGAATGTTAATGGCTCTTGATGCCATGGCCCTCAAATTTGCTCTGGCTAAAGCGAGCGAGCTCCTGTACTGCTCATCAGCAGAACTCCTTGTCCTAAAGGATTCCATGAACTCCTCTCTCTGCATTCTCAATGCCAGTGCAGCATCCTCGTCTTGGCTTGGTAACTCCCTCCTCGAGTTAATCTCTTGATTTCTGTTTGGTATTACAGAAGCTCGGACACTTTGTCTTCTCATGGAGCGAGAATTCCTTCTTTCTTGACTACTAGGACCAGATTCTGGACTGTTAAGCGCGAACACTCGTGATATTCTGCTGCTAGAGATGTTAGAATTAGCTGTAGCAGATCTTACTGGACTTTTGCGTCGAGCTTCTCTACTGTTCAAAGCTCCAGCAGCTTTTCTTGCTTCTATTTCTTTAGGAAAAAGAAGCTGAATTGTATTCCAAAGTACTGTGTTTACAGTGCAAGATCTTCCATTGCTGCAAATATCAAGTTTAACAGGAATATATCATACTTGAAACAATTGAAACACCAACTGAAATCCTTTTTAAGCTCCTCTAATTACATTTAAATAAAATATCATCCTAAGTTGTACCTTATAAGCTGCCTGCACTTGGGACATTTCTTTCCACATTTATCAGCAGCAGATCTCAGACACTTCTTGCAAAAACTAAAGACATAAAATTAACAAAATAGTCAGAGTCAATTAATTTATGAATGAATGTAACTTGATGAGAATGTCATTTAGATTCTACCTGTGACCACAAGGAGTGGTACTAGGTTCAAAACATATCTCCAAACAAATCTGCAAAAATTCAAAGAAATTATTTCTAAAATGAAATAAGAAATGCAATAAAAAAACACCCCTCTATCGATAAATGAAAAGGCACATCAAGGTTCAAGAATGGATTGACTCTTACAGCGCAAGAAAGCTCTTCACGAAGTCGATCAATGCATGGAAATGCCGATGAAGAAGAGGCTGAAACAGAACATCCCTGTTCTTCCAATCCTGCACCTCCTTTCTTCTCTGCTTTCTGAATAGATTTTGATTCTATATTCTTATCAGAAGATGAAGCAGAACATCTTGGTTCTTCTGATGCCTCAGCTCGTTTCTTATCTAAATTCTCAATGGATTTTGATTCTGCCTCCTTTTTCTCGCTTTCTACAGAGAACAACAACATCAGGAAACTATCCAATAGTCATCACTCTAATTCAAATCAGGGACTCATAATTTACCTTGTTTTGCAGTGTCATCCTCTTCATCCAGATCAAGAACAGTCACAGGTATGGACTCAGGGCTCCTCTTCTGAACCCTTCTTTTCCTGAAAAGATGCACAATTTTTTAACATTTCCCAATACCCCACAAAAAAAAGTGACTAATAATATAATCAGACTAGGTTTGATCCAAATCTGAATCCTGACATATAAGCAGTGATTGCACTATTTAGGCTTGGACTATATACATATAAATTACAACAACAACAACACCTCAGTTCCAAACAACTTGGGGTCGGGCAGTGGCGGAACCAGAACTTTTATCAATGAGATTCAAAATATAAAAAAGTAAACACATGGACAAATTAAGGGGATTCAACATCTATTACATATCATACAAAATAATTTTAATCTTGTGTATACAATGTAATTCTTTGGCAAAGTGGATTGATCCCCTGGTTCCGCCCCAAGAGGTCGGCTATATAAATTCTCACTGACCATGTTTTACTTCATTCAAATCATTTCATGCCAATACTATGCACTATATACATATATAAATTTATTTTAAAAATTTACTGATATGTCTATACATATAAATAGTGCAAAGTACCTTCTGGAATTTGTTGGGGGAGTCTTGAAATGCAGCAAATCGGAACGTTTCTTTTGTTTAGGAAGGCGATCGGGAGTGTCTTCAACGACAAGACTGGCAATGAGAAGAGCTTCTTCGTCCCAACCAGCCATAGCAGCCACTGATCTAAAATTTGGGCTAAACATAGAATCAACTCTTTCTCCATTTTTGGGTTCTTCAGGTTGTTTCGTAGGGTCGCTTTTAGTGTTGAGGGGACTCTTGATTGAATCTTCGTTCACCATTCTATTTTTTCCTCCTACTCCCTCTGTGATGACGTTCAGAGAAAGAATAAAGAAAGGCTCTAGGGTTTAACGGTCATTTTTCTTTTGAATGAGATTCTGTAACGGTTATATTTGCGCCGATCGGGTGTGTTATGGTACATGCAGTATGCTGCACTCTTCCTTTTTCTTTTATTTATTTATTTATTTTTCCAGGAGGCTTTTGCTTATTTTTATTTTTATTTTGCTCCTTTGAAAAGGAAAAATATCCATTTAGGTCCATAGATTGTACCGAATTTCTTGTGCACACCTAAAAAAAACCATAGATATTAAAAAAGGGCAACCCGGTGCACTAAGCTATGCGTGGGATGGGGTCCGGGAAAGGGCCGGACCACAAAAAAACCAAAGATACTATCTTAGTAAAATGATCTATTGTACAGTAGCATTAAAAAGGAGTAAATACATATTATAACGGAAAAACTTTGAAGAAAAGTTAAAAGCCTGTTGTAGCATAATATAAGAACCTTTGCAGAAGGGAACTATTAAGCTATCCTAGCAATAGCATCACTCAGCAAACCATCTTTCGCAGTAGAACAGGCAAAGTGATTTATGCTGAATAGTGTGAACGTGTTAATAGATAACAGTGAGACCAAAAGTCTGTCCATTTTGAAATCATATTGAATCGTCTCATCTAAAAACTTAAATTATTAAAAAGCAACATTTTTTAATAATCCGTTAGATATCTGCAATGCATATAGTGATTTAATCGCATAAAAGCCAGAACTATCAATACAACCTGATGAAGATATCCTCAAAATTGTGGCATACTACACATTCAGCAACTGATAAAAGAAATCCTCAAAATTGTGGCACCAAAGCCATGTTCAATTAGTACAATCTCACTGAACATCCTGTACGTGGCAATATTGTACAACAATGGATTCTGTTCGAAAAATCATTGCTTACATGAGAATATTTTTTCAGTGTTTATGAGAGTGTTTTCTATGGCGAAGGTATATTTCCCCCTTTTCCCTACTTCTCTTCTCTATGATCCTAAAAGCACATGAAATAAATCCAATGGCAGCCATGGGATAAAATGTTCTGTAAGGAGCCAAGGCTAAGCCAGAAATAAAAGAAAAGTATCCAGCTAGAAGATAGGCAAAGCTCAGGTTTATCTCCCATCCTCGGATGCCCGGCAAAGGAAACAAGAAGAAGTTGAACTCGGGCTTTGAATCACATATACCGTGCAGCAAAACACCAACGCAAAGTACAGAATCCACAAACCATGGCAAGCTCTGACTGATTCCCATTCTCTGTGTGCACGCATACACCAAAAAAGAATGTTACAGTACTTCCAATTATTTCGAGCAACCAACAGTTTTGAGCCATAGAGATAGAGGTTCGACAATGACAAAAAAAAAATGTAAGGTAGCAAAAACCTCTTGCTCCTAAAGAAAGATAAAAAATACCTGGAGCCATGCTATAAGTGAAGGGACAAACATAAGTGTCGCAAGAAAGTGTAATACAAGCAAACCATGCCGATGGTTGAAGATCTCTAGTTGGGTTTCACCATAGCTTTTTACTGAGTCCAGACTATTAGAATTATTCTCCTGAGTGAAATGCTTGTTGATTTCACCATCATATCGGGGTATGAATTGCTCAGATCCACTCTGACTTCCGTTCCCAGATTCTATTAACTCCTTAGTCTGGGTATGGCTGCGAAATGAAGCCATCAAAAAACTGTTTACAGACAAGAAGAATTGGTTTTAGACTACCTTTGTCATAACAAAATATCAAAAATATTAGCAGGCAACAAGTAAATGTAGAGCAATTGTGAAAATTAATGTGTAATGCTGCATCTTTCATTTATGAAGATAAATGTACTTAGAAAAAGCAGTACAAGCACAGAATTTATGGCTTCTGCTTTCTTTTTGAATATACATCTCATTATTCCCAATTTATTTCTTTCCTTATACTTTTCTTTCCAGGGTGATTAATTAGATCACCCCTCTGTTCTAGTGGAACTTATTGTACCTACCTTTAGTTTGTGAAATATCTTATACCTCCACTCTATTTTTGTATGTCACCTTCCCGACACCACCCTCTTTTTCGGTTGAGTTATTACACAGACCTTCCCTTACAAGACCTTTCCTATCATTTTAGGGCCTCATAAGCAATGATAACTTGTCTACCCAACATCTTGCCACCAATTTTATTGTATTTACCTAAAACTTACGGGAAGATAAAAAGAGAAATTTGGATAAGTTTAATTACTGAAAGTGAATACTGAATAGAGACTGAGGCATTGGTTTTGTTGTATTATACCAATTAGTTAAAGTTGCTAAAAGATTCATTATACAATAGGGCCATTTTGGTAAAAGTACGCCAGAAATTAATGCAAGGAACTTCTATCATTAACAACGGGAGGGTCTATGATAATTCTAAAACTAGAAGGAAGGTCTGTTAAGTTTTGCTAAACTGAAGAGGTCAAAGTAATGACTTTTTCTTTTTTCACTTTGTCATCTTTTTACCCAACCAACTAGCACACTTCATGGCTTTTTGTCTGGTTGCCTTCAGCTTTGGACCATTTCCTCCCACTATCAATTTTGATGGGCAAAATTCTTATTTAGTAGAAGGACGTTTACGCTTTTGGCTCTAATAAAGTCACTTCTCCTCCACAACGCTTTCCCATGAAAAGGAAGAAGTATTTTCTTTTCAATTTGTTATTTATTTTGTTCAATGACTTGTGGCCAAATGTTTTATCTATTCAAAAGTTCTGAATAGGTCAGAATTCAGTTAGGAGTCAGCACACAATATTGGATATGGAGAAAAGCTTTCGGCTGGACAGGAGGGCCACGATATCAATAGTCAAGAAATGGTCCCTAGTTCTACAGCTCCAACTGAACAGAATTTTAATTTCTGGAGAATCCAGCCAAATTAATACTCCCTTTGTTTCAATTTATGTGAACCTATTTCCTTTTTAGTTCGTGCCAAAAATAATGACCACTTTACTTATTTGGAAACAATTTACCTTTTTGCAATGATTTATAGCCACACAAAATATATGTGCCTCATTTTACACAAGTTCAAAAGTCTTCTCTCTTTTCTTAAACTTCGTGCACAGTCAAATGGGTTCACATTAATTGAAACGGAGGGAGTACACAGTATAAGACCACCACAGAAAGTGGAGAAAGGGTGATATAGTTAGCACTGTACCTGGACAGAGCATTGTGGCAACACACAACATGAGAAAAGAGCAACAAAAGAAGACCCAATGCTGGATGAGTGAAGCACATTAAGGTGAAAGAGGCCAGTGTCATAACAAATAATGGATTGAATCTTATGATCCTGACAACCTGTTTCAATAGTGAAAACTTATATTAAGAAAACAAGCACAATGCCAAAAATTTAATTAAATATTGGAATTTCGACAACCACTAAGATTAGAGGACAAGGAATGCAGAATACATTCAATTTCATTTCCGAAATATAAGTACAAAGACAGCCTTCTACAAACTTATGCTTTTGCAAGTAGCAACTAAACTTACCTTGGATGATAGGAAGGCAGCGGAAAGATTAAGAAACCAATGGCCAAATAGAAAAGAGAAATTATTTCCCCGAGTTTGCGACCTGCAAAACATTATATTGCCGTTAGCCATCACATGCGGAACTAACCGTTTCTTGAAATTTCAGGTAACCATTTATATGAAAGTCTTTAACAACATAAATGCGGTATATATATTTAAGAGAGGAGCTAACCGTTTCTTGATGAATACATGTAAAGATGCACTAACGTAGAATAACAATTGGGAGGCTGATATCACCACAACCACCACTCCATTTGCACAGAAGTAACAGATTGTTGAGACAATGATGAAGCTTATGGCTGGAGGAAGGGGTAGAGAAATGAGGCAGGAAAGTACTAGAGCAAATAAGATAGGTAGCAGAGCAAAACAGAGAAAGGGCAATGGCATCCTCAAATTTGATTCCACAGCTGAAATGAGTGAAGGTATAGGCTGGTCGAGCTCCCATTGCCGTGCTTGCCGCATTAAAGCAAAAAGGACAACAGCAATTGCGAAACCAGTAATCTGCACAGGCCCATGACAGCAAATAACAATGAGCCCAATAATCAGAAAATGCACAAAGAAGCAATACCTGGACAGAGGATCATGCTGAAAAGATCAACACCAATTGTAAGAACTACATAGACATCCAGCAAACAAATAAACCTGATTCACACTACAAAAGATGGGGGCATGGAGTAACTGAACCACTGATAATACTTTGATATATCAGTCAGGAAACATGCACGGACCAGACTTCGGATGATCATAGAATCATATTTATCTGAAGAAAAGGAATATATGATTCGTTATTCCATTTACTCAGTGCAAATAAGTTTTGCGCTACATGCTTGACTATTTGACGAAGGATCGTAGACGACACCATACTTCATTCTTCCTTCATTTTTTGATAAGGTCATTCTTCCTTCATAAATGAACCATGTAACAAAGTGCTCAAGAGTTTGGGAAACAAACCACTATTGAATGAAAAATCAAAGGCATCCTAAATCCATGAAGCTTTACGGTTTCCGTTTTCAAGTTTGGCATTATGTATGTAAATGAGTAATTTAAAGTATATTATACCTTCGGCGTTTTAATTGTCCTGAGATTGAGTAGCCACAAGAAAGATTTGCAGTGGAGTATATATGAAATTTATCACTGGATGTCTGCGGGTAAATTTTAGTTTGATAGAGGAAGGTCATGCCACAGCCTAAATCTGAAACCTTGAAACTTGTGAAAGGTTTACCGATCAGTTTCATTTGTAAGTGCCGAAGAAGGTTTTAACTTAAATCCACACAGACAGAGAGTTATAAATAGCTCAAACAGCAAGGAAGGAGGACTGTTGAGGACTAGACTTTTGAGGTATAACGGTAGAATGTAGCTTAACTGAATGGAACATAGAAGAATCTCTTAAACATGAAATATTTAAATTGTTGGGCGTGACAATCAAATGGGAGATTCTGTGCCACCATCAGTATCCTCAAATGGTATTAAAGCAAAGTCGCCAGTGAAATGCAAGAATTATATGCATGAAAAGCAAAGTCTCTGGCTGCATGGTATAAAAAACTTCCAGACCCAATGAGATGGAATTAAATTTGCATTCACCTCTGAGAAATATAGAAGCAAAAATCTTTGAGCTGCAGCAGTGACATTAACACCAATGCTTGTTTTGTATGAACAATGTGGATCAATCTGTACATAAGATGGAAAAATATTAAAATAAAGTCATGACAGAGCTAAGAACAGAGCAGCAGTCTATATCAACTTTCTGAGGGAACAAGAAACTAACGGGTTTGTTATAATACCAGCAACAAAACGTTGGTCTTTTCTGAACCTAGGCTGGAACTCCAGAGTGCTGGAGAGGAATCCACAAGAATCGTTTCCGAGAATAGATTAGGAAAAACATGGAGACCAGATGTGACATCCCAAGCAAGTGCTACAGGAGGGAAACAGCGAAGTTTACACAGCCCTACATCCAAAAGAATAAGTTACATTAGCAGCACAAATAAATAACAGTAACTGAGACATTAAATCTTCTATAAGAAACTCATTGGGTTAGATTAAAACTCAGCTGAATAAACTAAAGGGATACTTTTGACTTGGTTACTTCGTCTGCAATTATATATGAAGGTGGCAAGTTGAAAGTGTGCCGGATACATGTGATTTACCAGTTATTATACAACAATTTCTATTCAAAGATCTCTTAAATGGGGAAGATTGAATAGCAGTTAAAGGGAGGTGAGAAAACATAAACCTCCTTACATTGGTATTGCATTTACTTAGAAAAGGTGTGGAATTCAAACATAAAATTCCCTCCTAGAAATTCCTCATACATCAATTCCACCAATAATTACAGGAATTAGGAGGGACTGGTGGAAGACTGGAAAGTAACAGAACACCAAGTAAAAGAGTACAAAATGCTTTACTGGTTAAAAGAAACAGTACAAGATGCGTTTTGCTAAAAGGAAGAAAATCTTACTGTCAATTTCCATCTCTCCAGATTCATCAGAAGTGAACTCTGACTTTCTTATTCCACAACCAGTTGTTTTGACTGACAACGTCACAGGCATGAGGCCCAAGCTAACAGAGAAAGACAGATTAAGTGCAAGAGGGTGATCCTCCTTCAACATCATCTCCTGCAAATTTTGAACCCAAAAAAAAAATGTATTCAAAGGTAAATATAATTCGAACTTTCCTTGACCCTTTTTAGTAAGTAAGATGCACCCATACAAACCTTTGAAAAATACATAGCCTGAATCAAGGACTGAGAAGATAAGATTGTGTCCCCATCCTCTGGATTGAAAAATTGCCCAACTCCCATGGAAGTGGCCGGTGGAGGCCTTCCTGAAACAGCCTGAAAATCATAAAGTCATCATGAGAATGTTGCTCGAACTAATCAGTCAAATTAGCAACCCAGGAGCTAAGCACAATTAACAGTCAACAGAAAGAGAAACAGAACTTTCCATCTGAAATTTTTATTCCAAGACCAAATTTGCACATTGCACTGCAAAAGCTCATGAATATGTATAAAATACTGCAAAAAGGATCTGTCGGCAACTATACCATAAAAGGAAGAAGACAAGTGTAATTTTCTGTTTAAAACACATTGAGAGAAAAAGACGGTTCCCTCCCTGTATTCTACATCTTTTTCAACATTTAGTATGCGTCTCTCTGCAGTATTTGCCCCGTTACCAATGTGATTAGCAAATATCCTTAAAAAACTAGAAGTGGATAGACTAGCAAGAAGAAAGCCAGAGAGTAGTGACTCATGACCGCAATAACCAATCATTTGTACAGAAAATATTTTATTCAGAAAAGTGATAAAAAATGGAAGTACAAGCAACTATTTCACTGAGTATCTCCAGTTAAAAAAAGCAATCATTCAAACAACTAACTTAAAGGGTGAAGCTATGCAGTTCTGAAAGTTAATGCTTTGTCAAACCGGTCGCAGAAGATTATACACCAAAAAAATGTTTAATATGGTTATTGACAATTTGAACTCTGTATTTGCAACAGAACCTTCTAGCTTCTTTTTACCATTACAAGTAATGTAACTAGCATCAAAAGATTGAAGACTGGTTTAAAAACCCGAAAAAAACAGAGATCCGAAGCTCCTTGTATTACTCAGTAATCAGTTCCAGGGGCTAAACAACAAACAGGAAGAAGGAAAGGCATGAACTTCAACACCATTGATTCTCTCACGCATCAATTTTGTTTTTCCAGATGCACTCCACCATATAATAAAATACAAAAATCTTTATGGTTTTCAATAAAAGCCTCTCATGTAAGTGGCAAGGCAACCTGAAATCATGCATAAGCTCACTCGTCGACGACAGAACCTGCATCTTAAGAAGATACTGATTTTTTTGCCCATTTTTTAATAGTAAAAACCTACTACATGGAGCAGTTATCACGAAGGGAAGAAAAGAGGGAGGTCTGAAAAAGGTTTGGCACAACAAGCCTCTAGAAGTAGCTTTGTCGCTTCGTGTGCAAGCGGAATGCTATCTCCAAAGGTAGATAATTTAAGAAAAAGGAGAATATCTGCTAGTTGGTGTTGCATGCGAAGATTTAGAGAATACTAATCATCTCTTATTGCATTGCAAGTTGGCTTCACAGATCTAGGCCCTTGTTTTCTCATGTGTGCTATCAAGAACAGTGAAGGAACCAACCATGAGGTGGAGAATGCAGAGATTGGAAGTGAAAAAAAAGCAACTGGTATACATTACCATTGTGTCTCTTTAGCATATGGAATGAACGAAATAGAAATTTGTTTTAAAATAGTGAGAACAAGTAGAAAACATTAAAGATCTTCCTTGTTTCATTAGTATTTTTTGGTCTAAGGAGAGAATTCCATGCTGTATACAGTGGACAAACTGGTCATGAAGAAATGCTGAATAAGACACTTCTGGAAAGGAAAGACGAAAGTTAAATGTACGGAAAAGGCCTAAAAATGCCACTCAACTAACATGAATGGCCTATCTATGCCATCCGTTAAAAGGTCGCCCTATTCATGCCACTAACGTTATACTTTTGGCCTATTTATGCCACTAGCGATATACTTTTGGCCTATTTATGCCATTGTCTACTAACAGTTCCAAAAGGCAATGGCATAAATAGGCCAAAAGTATAACGTTAGTGGCATAAATAGGCCAAAAGTATAACGTTAGTGGCATGAATAGGGCGACCTTTTAACGGATGGCATAGATAGGCCATTTATGTTAGTTGAGTGGCATTTTTAGGCCTTTTCCGTTAAATGTATAAAGCATTTCTGGAGCGGACATTGTGAACTGAAATCTTAGGCCGCATAACATGGCGCTAGAAAGTGAAGTTCCTTTAACCTTTATTGGTAAAGTACAGAAAGTAAAGTCCTATCTCACATTATAAAGATGTGACGGGAAATAACTTCTAACAGATACGAACACCTACAAAGATTTCCCAAGATAGCAGGTCTCATGACTAAACAGAATCTAAAGCATATCTGAAACCCTGTGAACAAGTACCAGGCGAGATGCCACTGAGATGGTCAGAAATCTGAAGCCACGCATATCCTTTGGATGCAGCCAAAATACAGCAGAAGGAGGTGCCTGCTCAGTCTGAGTACCTGGTTCAACCTATTGAAAAGACACCACCCTTTAGGAAAAATTTCAATCAAACTAGCTCATAATAACATCACAGAGCATTTGGAAGACAGTGTACATAACCAAGTACCTGCCTTGGAGCTGGTCCAGATGGAATTTGCACCATCTTTGATGTAACTTCTAAAACCCGTTTATTAGTCGGTAACGTGGAAACTGAAGATCCTTTCTCGGGCCAAAGGTGCAGTCGTACACCGGAACATGGAGAAAGATTTGTGACAAAAACAAAGTGGTTTTTGCCATTAGATCCCTGAGTATGCAAGTAAGTTATGTTATAAACTGGACAAGAAGCATCAAATTTTATGCTACACATTCTTGGTTGCTGCATCCAAGCTATCAAAGCAAGTTAAGGAGTCCCTCAAATAATTTACATTTGACCTTTTCCCAGAAGAGTACAAGCATTTGTCTTGAAGATAGAAAACACAACGTAAGCAAGCACCCTATGAAAGATATGAACAGCGTGAACTTTTTATAAATGATAAAAGGAAGCTGACCAACTTCTCAATATCCAACCACCGCCTCCTCCCATCCATTGCTAAAACTGTAACAGTGGTTGTCTCGATGTATAAATCTCTTTCAAGTGCATCATCACTCCAATGAATGCTACGGGGGCAAGCATACATGCTGTGCGCCTGAGATCCTGCACCACAATCCACCCAAATTGTTGCCCAGATACAAGAACACATGTAAGCATGTAAATGCATCTTTATATATTTTAACACTATATAAGGATCTGTTCCTCTGAATAAAGTAGATATAGAGAGTTGGTCTGAGAATACCAGATTCAGCTTCTCCAGTTTCGATTGGTATATGGGGCAGCTGCGGTTGCTTTAACCAATTAAAATTTGGAGGTATTCCACTGTGAAGCATTTTTGTGAAGATTGTCAGCCTCGTCCGAACATCAGATATAGGCTGACCGGTCTCCTGGTCTATCAGGCTAAGAAGAGTATGTGATACCTGAAAAAGTTGATGTTGAAATTCAAAGCTATTCTATTACAAATTTAATTGGGGACTCTTGGGAAAAATTTCACTTACTTGGACCACGAGCTGATTACACCACAAAATAACCTGGTGTTCCATTGATAACCACACATTTTTCATGCCCGTGCTACTAATCATAAGGCCATGGGTAGGAGGCACAATACCATCAAGTGATTGTAACTTTGACCGAACCTAAAAATGAAAAGTTATTGAAGCTAATGGTAAATATTTAGTCAAGTAATACGTAACTGTTAGCTCACATAAAGGGCATTGGTGGGGCAAGAGAAAGTACAACATCCAAAGACCAAAATACACAAATATCAGCCGGAGATACTATCTGGCTCATTGAAATAAAGTATACTTAAATCATTATAAGGGTCTATCCGTTTAAATAAAGTATGCTTTAATCGTCATATGGAGACAAAGGTTAAGGATAAGTCAAAAGTGAAAGTTAGCAAACGTAGAACCATTAGAAAGAACAAAACTCTACTATAAGTTAACATTAGTCCAAGATGGAGAATAAGTTCTAGAGCTACTTCTCTTTACAAGCTAATAGAGCAGTGCATTCAACAGCAATAGCATGGCAGTTACTAAGTTAAACCCCTGAACATAAAAAGATTTTGTTTACCAATCAAAAAGAATTTTATGTTTAGTCAGTTTCCTCTAAAAGTAACCAACAACCATTCACTTCAAAAATATTTGATTGAAGATCAATAACTGCGGTTTCCTACTGGAATTGCATGGAACGGAAAGAAGGGAAATGAAATTATACCCGTTGTAAGCCTTACATTTTTATTTGCCAATTATATTTCAGATTTTCACCATCATGTACTTGAAACGTAAAAAATCAAATAGAAGAAGTACCTGGTAATCATGATAACCACCAGAAACTGAGACGACAACAACATGAGAAAGTGCTGGATCAGACAGATAATGTCCTGATCGAGAAGTTTGGACCTCATATCCTTTCCTCCATGCGTAATTTACAAGTGCATAATACTGACCAAGTGATGGCTGCAAAGCCAGAGGAGGCGACCTGGATAAGGCACAAAAAAGAATTAGTCATTTATAGCATAGAAGTGTAACGATATAATAGCCTTCCAAGAGTAGAGCAATTTACTGGTGCGGAGAAGAAAGTGTCAGAACAGTTTCAACAGCAAATTTCCTCAAATGTGGGTGGACAATCGCAGCTCTAGCAACAAAACCACCCATTGAATGACCAACCAATATTACACTTCTCGGAGGACTCCTAGACGCAGCAGCACCTTCCTTAACTCGTGCATCGTAGGACTCTTTATAGTGATCCAAAATCTAAAAGCAGGAAGATGTAAATAGAAACACAGACATGAAAAATTCAAGGCGATAAAAGGGGACTGAGAGCAAAAGAGGAGCAGGAAGGAAGTAGAGAGGAATATAAAACGTAGAACTGTAAGTCTTCAATCTTCACTGAATTTATTAAACAACAATAACCATGCATATAAAAGATCTAGACTAGTAGAATGCACCCAAAAGGGTAGAAAATGACGACGCTTTCCAAAAGATGGCAAAATCAATTCAAATGAGGAAGTTCTAAAACTTCCAATATTAAGGAACAAACTCAAATAAAGCTCCCCATCACTTAAAAAATCTTTTTTGATCTCTTGCCTCACCCACCAGACATGTATGTGTAACGGAAGCCCCTGCTTAATACTAGAGTACCAGAGGTGTCAAACAGTCCAAGACTAGATTAATCTACATTACTGGCAAATAAATTAGTAAATGACAATAAAACCAAGTCAAGTAACCTGACACAAAATATTTTCCAAAAATAACTTCCATCTGGACAGCACTTCCAAGCATGTTTATCAGTATCAAGTTTGAGCTATATGCTATTACTGGTGTTTCCATTGTCTGAGGCATTAAAGTTGTAAACATATATGTTTAACATTGGATCTATCTGGTTAAATGAGCTATAATCTGTCTTTGCTTATCATCTAGTCATTGTTCCAATGAGGATAGGAAAAGCATAAACTTCATAGGTATTATCATATTGATATATTCCTCAATTTTCACTTTTGATGCTTTATGCAGCTTTACCTTAGCAAGGATTCGTGAAATTCTAGACGGCATTTCTAGATTCTTATATTAGTTCTTTTTCTTTCGTTTTCCCTGCTAAATAGTTATACAGACCCGCAAAAATAATGGTTTCTCTTTCTCAATGGAAGCACTTGAATAATAACTTATAGACTTGCAACTCTAAGAAAACTGTCTCAGCACTTCCAATCTGAAAGGACAGCATATTTTTTTTCATTAATGTATTCCCAGTAAGTTATGTCCTTTTTCTCCAGACTTGCTTATTAGCAAATGTAAGTATCATCATCCATGCTTAGTGGTTAGTGTTACTGTTAATAAGCAACCAGAAGGTAAGACTAAGCACGTAGATTCTAGTTTCTCTCGTTTTATGGGAAATCTAACCATGCATCATCAATCTATAAGAACCCACAGACTTGCAGATATCCTTTAAAAAGTTCTTTAAGATTGTCACTGTCAACATCAAATAATCCAGTCTATTTCCTACAGAAAGAAAACCATAGTAAAACGCACAAAAAGAAAACGGTGAATCATATTAACTTAAGCAAATTGGTATTTTACATTCAACTTTTAATTATATCTTCTCCCTTTTCCAGGAAAGCATCCTGTATTCATCTCTGTGTTACATTGGATAAACTATGGAATCACGCAACAAAGATTGTCAACACATTCCCTCAAATTAATGCCAATAAAGAGACACTCTACTTGAGCAAGAAAAGCTATACCCTGTGAATGGCATATACAACATAATCAGTGTGTTCTTCAAGAATTCGGCCATCCATTGCAGAATGTTCACCTTCAAGATCCACGGTAAACCAGTCAAGCATGGATGTATATTGATAGGGCAAAGGAGTGTTGGTGACATCAGAATCTACTCCCTCTCCGAGACTTAGAGAGGCTTCTTGGTAAAAACTACGTTCAAGAGGACCTCCTTGATAAGCCCTATCAGATTCTGCAGCCACAGATCTCACCTGTAAAAGTGTTTAAAAAGGATTAGAAGCAAAGCCAATAAAACGAGAACAAGTAATGCATTAACATGTCTTGCACTCATCTTATGATGCCACATACATTCACATAACAAGCAGTTAATATTCAATCNAGAATAAGTCAATCAATCAGCAGTTGTCGCAGTAAGAACAGTAGAGAGAAGGATGAAAGGTGGAAACGAACGAAGAGTAAATTAGGGGTTTTCTTTCAAAAAAGGTAATTCAAAATTACAAACAATATTAGGAATAAAATAATAAGAATCTTGGTCAAACCAAAAGTGCTTATAAGCTGAAACGCCACCCTGATTTTGGCTTATAAGCATTTTTGGTGCTTACCTTGGTATCAACTGATTGATGTCAGCCCCCAACAGAAAGGGAAGATCCATAACTTGTTAGCTATTTCCACTATTATAATCTTTTACTTGTACGTGAAACAAGATGTTCAATTGGTTCACACATATATATACCATTTACTTAGACTTCATTAATTACTACTTCTTTCTGGTTTAATTTGATGCAGTCACAACTCGCAGAGAAAACAAATATAACGTTTTAACATCACTTTTGTTGTCTTTAAGACAAGTAGAATTACTTTTTATAGTATATAGTTTTAGCATCCGTGAATCAAAGTTGACTTGTGTTATGCTTTCAAAGTGCCAGAAGCATATGAGAAAACAGTTCCAAGGATATAAGATTTTTCTTGTGTTTTCAACATTTTATGTTCTGTATCTGCTCATCTGTCATGAGTCATTACTAAATGCACACATATGACACCTCGTTCGATCTAAATGGAATTGGTAATGCACTAATAACATTCCCAGATGGAAAATTTGACGCAAAAAAAGCTAATAAGAATAGATACTACACTTGATCTAAGCCAAAAGACCAAACAAGGTATAGATTTGACAATAAACATAGGCATATGATGGAAATACTGTTTTGAAACATTTGAGGTCATAAATAAGAAACTTGCCTGTTTGTAGCTACCACCATTGCCAGGGATAAAAAGAACAGGAACCCCAGTAAGCTTCTTAAGATGATCGTTGAAATCAATCCTTTTCCATCCTTCATGGTACAGATGTAATCCGTACTTTGTGGACGACACATTTGCCGGTGTAGGTATAGGTATGTAAGTAGGATACATGTATGTCATGGTACAACCATTAGATATGGGCTTTATCATGCCATAAAGACCAGCTAGACCTATCCATAACGCAAGTAGAACCATCGCAGCCACTCTGAATTTCGCCCTAAAACCTTCCATGCTTTGGCTCACACTCCCCCCCATCCACTTCATCTTGATCCTTCAATATCCTACCAAATAAATTAGCACATTGACCAGAAAACTTAGTATTCTTAAAGAGTTTAAGCTCTATGTGTTAACGGTATAAAAAATATTTGCACAATCAGCTCACTTAAAAGTTAATTACAGGTAACTCTAGTTAATAGCATTGATTGGTAAGCTAGAATAAATGGACAATAAGCTACTATAACAGGTTGAGTTACACTATGGTGTAAAAATCATTGCACTGTACATAACTCAAATCCATTCTCAAATTGTACAAGATATAACGACTTACTCCATTACACAGATCTTTCACCAAGAAAGTAAAAGGTTTGAATTGGGTCTTGGGGGTTTTAGTCTTTGAGAACAACTTACAAACATGATATGTGCATTGAAGCTTTCTACAGTGCAAAGAAGAAGAAAGGTACTAAGATGTACCTGATTGGAGATCTACAGTTTCAAGCGTTGGACTCTTTACAAACTCGAGCGAACAAGAATCAACACACACGGTACAGAATGAGTGTGAAGTAATAGAAAAGTCTGCTTTATTTACCTTCCCAGAAAAGGAGATAAAATCCAATTTTAGGAAAGGCGTGTGTACTGGTCTCACTGTATGTAACTGGATGAAACTACTGGAGTCTTCACTTGAACTTCCTTATGTCCATTTATTTCATGTACAGGAAAATCAGCTCATCCGATTGGATCTTGCCATAACAAGAACCAGATCGGGAGAGAGGGAAGAAGATTTAAAAACCCACAAAGAAAATGGAAAGGGGTTAGAAAAGAAAGTGGAGTGAATTGGAAAGGGGTTTAAAAAGGAAAGTATCTAATGATTGTAATTTCAGATACTGCGGGTATTTTTTGTACTAGCTCTTTTGCTTTTTCGGAGATATACGTGTATCAACGATAATAATAATAATAATAATAATAATAATAATAATAATAATAATAATAATAATAATAATAATAATAATAATAATAGGAGCAGAAAGATGAAACAAGAGATTTTAAAGACATTATCATTTCACATCATTACTTTGTGATGTTTTACCATTTTCGTCCTGTCCTGGAATATTATTTATGTTATCTTAATTACTCTTTCGGCCTTAATTTATTTAATACTTTTTACTTAATTATTTTTTCGTCTTAATTTATTTGACACTTTTTAGTTATTGAATATAATCTAACTAATATTTGCAGCTAAATTAAACTAGATAAAACTTACTTTTCTAAGTTAAGAAGATGTTTAGAAAAAAAAAAAAAAAATTCCGTGTCCATTAGTCGTTATTTTCCTCACATCAAATTGGCAAATAACATATTTTTAAATTTTAGTTAAAATTTATTTAATTTGAATCTTGAAAATAAAAAAATAAAAAAATGCGGATAAATTCTTCTATCTAATAAGAGAAAGTTAGCAGGCAACCGGACGACATGACTGCTTGCTGAACAGGGGTAAAATTGAAATTTTCTCTTTAACATGTTGTAATTATGGTACCCTCCAATAGGGAATACTTTTAAGTTCCCTATGCGGCGCATCACCTTACCTTTTGAAAATGCTTTTTGCAAGTTGTGGGACCCATTCATCTATTTTGTTACACCAGCACATCAATGTTCTTCCTTTGTGTTAGATTATGTGACTGCCACGTTTTTGTAAGATGGTTTTATTTGTTAATAGCCATAGATATCACAAAAAAAATTGAAATAAAATAAACATTACTTCATGACATATTTCTTTTGTGAGCAAAATTTTTTGCCTAAATATTTTCTACGTATATTAAAACTGCACTCCTTTTGCCAACTATTTTTCACGTATTGCACTCCTTTTTTTATTTATGTATTTTTAAGTTTGATTAGGTATAACTTTTATATATATATATATATNAATATTATAATTTTACAAGTTAATTTATTTAAAGCCAAATTAAATTCAAATTATGCAACTAAACTTATACAAATTTACGTAGCTTTTTTTTAGGAAAAACTGATGGAGTTATAGAGATTAAAAAAGAAAATAAAAAAGGTTAAAATATATGCGTTAATGTTCAATTTAAAACAATTTTAATTTTGAGGGGTTATTCTCATTAATTAAAAATATAACACAAACTCCTAAATATGCTCTGAAGAATAACTATTAGTTAGATTATCTAATATGGTAAATGATTGCAAGTAAAGATAAAGAAATTATGAAGAAATAAAATTCTATCCTACAAAACTACATGACCAACCCGACAGATGAGGTGAGAACTTGCATGGTTAGTTACTTGATTAATATTATTGAAGTGTAGATGCTTGAATATTATACAAAATTTGTAGTGCTTTTAGACCATTTTTTGGCAACTTGGAGTATATTTCAAGGATAATAGCAAATGTATCATAACTTTACAATCTTATAATTTTAAATTTTAAATTTATTTTAATTGGAGCATAGACAGTTGGTGGATACTCTCGATAACTTTGATCTTGTTAATCTTTTACGCTCTAAAGTCTGAATTTACACCATATAAAATATGAATAGTGTAAGCCTAAATTCTCTTATACTTATAATTCTTTTAGTCTTCTTTGTATTCCCTATGGATTTTTTTTTTTTTTATCTTGACCTGTTAAATATTCGACTTTTGATTCAATAATTATGTATTAGGGTAGAGTTGATAACTCAGGAAGACGTGTACAATTCAGAACGACTTGAAAAATTTCCGTGTAGTAAAATATTTTTCTTTTAATGAGACGTCAAATTAAAAATATTAATTTAGGATATTCAGAAAAATACTTGACATAATTTTTGTCACAAATTTTGATGGAGCATAAAAAAATTTCAATATTATGATTGAAAAAATTGGTGATTGTAAGAATTTTTTGGTGGCGTGAGCCTATTTTCACAAAATATAAACGGTGGTTTAGAAAAAGTCCATCGTACATAATTTCTTGCTATTAGTAAGGGATAAAAACATACTTGCATATTGGGCACGTGCTGGCACGGGTAATCCATCATCTAGTATTTTTAGAAAGAAGAGTAGTTAGTGTGCGTTATCCCGACAATGAATGCAAACATTCATTTCTTTAGTTTTTGTTAATTGGTTGGAATGTTAAATCAAATTCAATGATATTGAAAATAACTAAAAACACATCATCGGGAACATCGATCTCCTTTCTTCACACCAACAGAAACCAATTAAGTATACGAATGCTACGTCAAGCTTCATAGTTTAAAGTAAAAATGTCAAATACACCCATTTATTTTTATATATTATTTATATTTAAACTCTTTTATACTATCGTACCAAATTTACCTTTATCGCTATACTATCAGGTCAAATTTACCCCTACAATCAGTAAACTTTTAAAAATATCCTTTCATTTGTTAAGTAATCCAAAATCTCCTAAATGCCTTTTGTTTAAATCACTCGATCTTCTTCTTGGTCCACTATTTTTGAATTAATTGACATTTACCTGCTTTCTGAATTAGAGAAAAAAATAAGATTAAAAAATATTAAATAATACAATCGAATAAACAAAGTATAGTAAATTAAAAAATCTAAATTATGTAGCTTTTCTAAATTCTAAAAGTATTTACAACACCCCGAATTTTAATGAATTTGTTGCACCAAATGTATGGAGACTTTGCAAGTATTAGTGAGTGAAGTTGAAGTTTCTTAGAGACTTTACATTGTCTAATTCAACTTTGCTTTAATTAAATGTCATATATTTTGCACTCTTAAGTTAGTCGATCGAACTCTATACTAACCAGGCAATGACAAAATATATTTGAATATACATGATGATCAGCTACATATCATACACAATAAATAGACCCACTAAATTCTACGCTATGTATATGATTGAAAAATAAATAAAATTTTAAACCAATTTTATTTATTACAAAAAGAGGAATGGGTGCATTGATAATAAAAAAAAATTATGAATAATTTGTATAATCTAGTAATTTTAGCATTCACATCAATAGTAATTTTTAAAATTAAAATAGTGGACCAAGAAGAACAACAAGTGATTTAAATAAAAGGAATTTGGGAGATTTTGGATTACTTAACAGATCAATGGGTATTTTTAAAAATTCGCTGATTGTAGGGGTAAATTTAGCACGATAGTATAATGGTAGGGATAAATTTGGTCTGATAGTATAACGGAGGTTAAATACAGACAATATATGAAAGTAGAGGGGTATATTTGGCCCTTTTCCCTAATTTAAATGAAAATTGGGAACTCATTTGACTGAGCACGCCATAGTTTAAATGCTACGTCAATTTATGTAAACCCATTTGACTGAGCACAGAGTTTAAGGAAAAAGAAAAAACTTTTGAACTTGTGGTGTAAAATGAGACACATATATTTTGTGTGACTATAAATCATTGCATAAAGATAATTGTCTCCAAATAAGGAAAGAGATCGTTCTTTTTGATAAATACTAAAAAGTAAATAGGTTCACATAAATTGAAACGGACGGAGTATTTATTACATATAATGGTTTTACCTCGTTGACAAGGCTATATTATATATAATCCATCTCCTCAAGCTTTGGGACACAATCTCTCAATGGCCACAAGTAAAAGACAACGTAAACATATGCTTGAATACGAAGATTAAAAAACAAAAAAAATAAAAATAAATAAATAAATAAAACATTACCTCCGATTAAACTCCTGCTTTCAGAACTATCTCCTTGACAATACAGACTCATCAAGAACTTGTTAATACACAGTCAAAAGTTCCTTAAATCCAAATACTGCTGAAGTCCAACCATACAATATAAAGGGTAACGCTAAGCAGAATACGTCTCTTCCTTTATCTACTAATAACAGAGAGAAAAATGTTTACAAGGATAACATACATGCTCAAATAAGAGGAATTCGTGGCTCAAAACTCAGCTAAACCCTAATTTCTGGCAAGTGACATCTATTTTACAAAAGAAACATCCCAAGGAAAAAAGAATGTGCGATGGAACTTGAAGGCCATATATGGTGAACCTCAAACCGCAAGGATCGTTTGTCACAAAGATGCTGCTATACAAGACCATCTGTCCAACTCAATACGAAAACTCGTGACCTCGAAGTGAAATGTACTTCTTAACCCAGATAGCAATATCCTCAGCACAAGCCTGAGACTGAGGGGTCTTGAGAAGCATGTCAAGAGTAGCAAACTCATGAACAGCATCCTTGTACTCAAGAACAGGAGCATCAACATTTACTTTCCGGAGTTCTTCTGAATAAGCAATAGCCCGATCTCTCATCCAGTCATGCTCTGCTACAATTGTTAAAGTTGGGGGCATTCGCTTTAAGGGAGGTCCTCCTCTCCCAGGAACTAGTGGGTTAGCAGCAGGGTGATCCAAGTCAAACTCTCCTTCAGGTAAAAATAATTTCCACGCAAGTATGCACATAGCCTTGTCATAGAAATAGGAATTTGCTAGCTTTATCTCGGAATGAGTTGGAACATTTCCAATGAAAAAAGGATACATCAAGACCTGTGCCACCACCTTGACTGGATCCAAAAGCTTACCTGCTTCTACTGCCTTCCGGGCTACATAATCAGCTATATTTCCTCCACAACTCACTCCAAGGAGAACACACCTAGTTGAACATATAAAAACAAACAAAAAAATTTTAAAAAGGGAAGTTATTAATTAGTATATCTAACATCGCAGAGAAACAAGGTGGCGGAGGAGATCTAGCCTATCATGGTAAAAGCATAAGAAAGTAGTATTTAGGCATGTAGGGTAACTATATAGAACCAGAACATGAGAAAGCGACTTCATTCAACTACGGATGTCAAGACGTCCAGCACAAGTTACTCATCAAGCAAACACAAA